GTCCTCTAATGGCGTCCGATATAAACAGCATCAATTTAATTATAAAATAAAATATGAAAGATAGATATTTAGGATTTGGCACCTCTTGATGCCCTTGTTTAACCTTCACTACTAAAAAAAACCCCTTGTGCGACGAAACAATTCGTCGCGCAAAGTGACTTTGCGCGACAAATACAAATCATCGTCGCTCAAAGTCTTACGCGACTCAATTTTGCGCAACGAAAAACAAATCGTCGCACAAAGTCACTTTGCGCGACAAAACTTTGCGCGACGACAAAGCATCGTCGCGAAAAGTAGCTTTGCGCGACGAATAGTGATTAGTCTCGCAAAGTATTTACAAAAATAAATAAATAAATAATTATTTTTAAAAAATTTTGGATGCCTTTGCGCGACGAAATAATAATATTCGTCTCGCAAAGTCTTCACTAAAATTTTAAAAAAAAATTAAAACAATTTTGGATGACTTTGCGCGACGAAATAATAATCTTCGTCTCGCAAAGTCTATACAAAAATAAATAAAATAAAAAAATTATTTTGCTAGAAAAATATATTATTGTAGTTCGGATTGGGTTTTTGTTAGAAAATATATATTTGAAATTGACGATCGAATTGTTTCATTGTATTCATATAGGGTCAAGGAATGTAGCTGTAAACATCAAAATCGAAATTCAAATAACCGTTAAATCGTGATTTTTCGTTTATAACCGACGAAAAGTTTTGTCCTATTACTTGATCTCTGAATGTTTATTTTTTCCGAATGTGTAAACAAACAACTTTGACGGTTGGATTGTTGAAATTAGTTTCGTAGAATGTGTATGCCATCAAAACAATATATTCACTAACAATTAAGAGTTTATTTATACTTTTGTTAAATGTAACATAAGATTTTGTGGTATCCACTAGTGTAAATATTTTAAATTGACGATTGAATTGGTTCATTGTATTCATATAGGGTCGAGGAGTGTAGCTGTAAAAAATCATCAAAATCAGAGTTGAAATAACCGTTAAATCGTGATTTTTCGTTTATAACCGTCGAAAAGTTTTGTCCTATTACTTAATCTCGGAATGTTTATTTTTTCCGATTTTTGGCGTATATGATCTCGAAGTGTAAACAAACAAATTTGACGGTTGGATCGTTGAAACTAGATTTTTAGAATACATATGCCATCAAAACAATATATTCACTAACAATCAAGAGTTTATTTATACTTTTATTAAATATAACATAAGACTTTGTGGTATCCACTAGTGTAAATATTTTAAATTGACAATCGAATGCAGTCATTGTATTCATATAGGGTCAAGGAGTGTAGATGTAAAAAATCATCAAAATCAGAGTTGAAATAACCATTAAATCTTGATTTTTCGTTTATAACCGTCGAAATGTTTTGTCTCGTTACTTGATCTCTGATTTTTTTTCTTCCGATTTTTGGCGTATATGATCTTGAAGTGTAAACAAAAAAATTTGACGGTTGGATTGTTGAAACTAGTTTTGTAGAATGCGTATGCCATGAAAACAATATATTCACTAACAAATAAGAGTTTATTTATACTTTTATTAAATATAACATAAGACTTTATGCCATGAAAACAATATATTCACTAAGAAATAAGAGTTTATTTATACTTTTATTAAATATAACATAAGATTTTGTGGTATCTACTAGTGTAAATATTTTAAATTGATGATCGAATGCAGTCATTGTATTCATATAAGGTCAAGGAGCGTAGCTATAAAAAATCATCAAAATCAGAGTTGAAATAACCATTAAATCTTGATTTTTCGTTTATAACCGTCGAAATTGTTTTGTCCCATTAATTGATCTCTTAATGTTTATTTTTTCTGAATTTTGGTGTATATGATCTCGAAGTATAAACAAACAATTTTGACGGTTGGATCATTGAGTAGCTTTAAATTTATTTATTTTGTACGTATAACACTTAAGAAATCGAATAGTATATGTATTTATTAGTAGCTTTAAATATTTTTTAAGACTTTGCACGACCAATTAGTATTTCGTCGCGCAAAGTATACTCTCAAAATTTGGGCGTGTGCCAAAAATGGGAATTTTTA